TTGTCCCCGTCGATGTAATACGGTTACCTTGCGAGGTAAGTCTCCGTAAGACCTAATGAAAGGTCGTGTCTTGTCGTATGACACGTACCCCCATGAGTTAGGGTAATGAATCTCCTTTCCTTGGCTAATGAAAGATGTGTACACGTGGGTATTATATTGTGATGTGATTAGAAGACGTGACAGAATAATTGTTTTATGTTCATACTGTAACCATACCTTTTCTTCATTATTTATGTTGTGATATATGTGCATAGTGGTGAGCACGCTTTTCATCTTGTGCTCATCCCCACCTGCTCTTCACCGGTGCAAGTTAAGCAGGAGTAGGGTGACGAGAAGAGGCGAGTGGGTCGGTCATTTTATTATGCATTTATTGCTTCCGTAGAATAAATAAGGCTTTTATGGACCTTTATGTGGAGACTTGTTTAAACCTTTTTTTTCCCAAAACTTATGACTTGTTTTGTTTTTGGAAAACTTGAGGAACCCTGACGATTGGGTATGATGGTTTGATTTAAATGTTCATGTTTGAGAATTACGCCTCATGTTATGCTTTGGTTAATGAAAACCATTTGCGAAAACCGGGTAATGAATCCCCGTAGGCCCAGATAAGACTTGAGTTATGAAAATGTTATTTAACACCCATTGAATTTCAAAAATGATTTCGTAAATTTTATACTGATTTTGGAAAGTCTGGAATTTCTGTAAAATCAAAGTAGGGTGTTACAGTTTGGTATCAGAGCCAGTCTGCGTTTCTGTAGACTGGTTTATATGTGATTATGTGTTTAGACCTTGTAATATGACCACTCGTCTCTGTCACTCCGCGCTGCTTAAGGTATGTTTTGTTTAAGTATTAATGAAAATACTTGATATGTAAATAATGCACATGTAGCAATGAAACTACTTGTGTTGATCTTGTGATTTGGGGCTTAGGATCTATCCTCCTTGATTTAATCGAACTCTAGTGTTTTTGGGTGAACTCTAGACTTTTGTAAGTTTTGATTATTTTTGTTTGTTTTTGTGCTAA